TCCTTGCGCTTATGTTCCAAGTAATTCTTTAAGTCCTTCCACAGCGGAGAGAGCTTTTCAATAAATGCTGCAACTTGAAACGCTTCATTTATGACCATACCTTCAGCAAGGAGGTCATGAACAATGACTTGCGGTTCTTCAACTTGAGTTACAATGGACTTGTTGTCAACCATTTTAAAGTCCAAGAACTTTGCAGAAATAATTTTTTTAAGTCCAGCATCTTCTGTCTTGTACTTCTTTTCAAGAGCATTCCACAAGTCTTTCGAAGTTTTCATGACACTATAAATATTGCCCAAGCCATCTTCCAAATAACTCATGATATAATTTTAGCACAATAAGTCAAAATATTTTCATGCCTCCGTAATCACAAACAGCTCATTATCCGGAGTTTTTTCTGCCAAGACTGGAACGTCCTCGCTGATGAAACGCTGTAAATTGGGTGTGGTTAGATAGAAGAATATTTTCTGCTGTCATCGCTTGAAGTCCACGCTAGAAAATTTTTCGGGCTTTTATGTTGTGCTATCGCTGGTGCAGGCGCTGTGCGATTTGAAGACGCAATAGCCATTGCAGCAGTAGTAGTCACAACAGAATCATTTTGTTGTTCCGTATTTATTGTCATTTTTCTACAAAAAAAAATTGACACAACCAGAATTAGTAAGTCAGTGAAGTTTTCATATCTTCAAACCATATACACACAACCGAGTAGAAAACCACAAGGATTTTAATCTCGGATTGAGTAGAAAGTTACAAAGACTTCAATCTCAAAATGGAGTGAAAAATTCGAAGATTTTAATCTCTAAAACGGGAGTAGAAAATCACTAGAATTTTAGTTCCCAAAAATAGAATACAAGATGAACACAGAATAAATAATCGAATTCCTTAAGCCTGTTAGTAACGTATGTTCGAAAATAATTTCTACAAAAATAAATAAATAACAGAACAGAAAATAGTAGAATAAAAAGTTCGGAGCACAACAGAAAATCGGGTTTCTTTAAGGAATTTAATCCCCTCAATGTTGCCCCAGGTTATTGGATTAATTCCTCCCAGGAGAACGGAACAACTATTGTGTCATACCGGTAATGAAAATTATAGAATTTCGTCGAACTCAATAAACGACAGTAAATCACATATATACTTACGTTTTGCTTTTGAAAAAACGGTACTGAAATGCAGAAGAGAGAGGGAGTTTTGCATAAGTTTGGTGGTGAAAAATAAGGCTACTCCTCTGCATTTATAGCCAACGATTTGGGTTTCAACAGGTGCCAAGATACATGTTCATTTGAAATGGTGGCTGTTTGCCTAAATTAAAATTTTGTTAGGCGCGAATTTAGCCATTGGGAACCGCAGAATTCAAATTAAACTTCCGCAAAAAAACTATCAAAAAATAAATAAATTAAATAACAGAAAATAAATTTGTTCCAACAATCAATCATATCATCATATCAATTGAGAGAAGTAGAAACAGAAGTCGAATCCGAGCGACGACAATGACGCGAGGCACCACTTCTTATCAACCCTTTTAAAAGCTAGAAGATGTGCTTCTCTATATAAGCACAAGAATTACCTTTCTATTTCCGATGAGGGACAAAGTGCCTTAGTAAAAGGAATAGTTTAAACTTTTCGTTTCCTTTCAAATTATTTCCCTCCATTTCACATTTACACCTCTTTATTTATTAAATAAAAACCCAACAGTACAATACCTCCCGCGTTCTTTTGCTAAAAGAAAAGAATGTCACCAAAAAATTTAGTGGGATAGTTGGAATCTTTTCAACCTTAACAAGATATTTCGAGTTCAAGCCTTACGAACGAAGAATATTTCGATCGTGAACCTATCTAGTTCGATTCCTGATTAATTATGCTAATGAATGCAGGATGACTAAATTAAAATATATGGATTGATTAATTTTGTAGGGAAGGAAAAATTATAATTTTTCAATTTAGGCGTGAAAGCATGGTCACCTCACTGCCAAAAATATTTGTATATCGCCCTTAAAAGCATCGTCGCCTCCATAAAAAGCTAAGCCCTCCTCAGACCCCTTTATGACTTCACTAATTAATTAATTAATTAAATTTGTTAAAGTCATTTTATTGAAAGATGAGAAAGAAGTAAAATAAGTTAAATTAAAAGTGACAAAATTCTTGCTGGGGAAACCAAGATAACTTTAGCTCTTCTTTCTTTTTTACCTAATTATTATGGTTTAACTGAAGGTAACTGACGTGGAAGTCGATGGTGAAACAGGCTTTTTGGGTATTTTATTGGGAATTAGTTCTTTTTCTGGTTAAGTTTTACTTTACTCATTGGAATAGAGAAAAGGTTGTTTTAGAATATACTGTTGGTCTTCTGTTTGATGCTGTTTAATTTGTACGAAATTTTGGTATTGAAAAACACACAATTGCACAAATAAGAAGAAAAAAGAAAAAGAAAATAGTTACTTGGGTCAACTCGAATAATTATTAGTGTTATTCTTTATTTTTTATCCGGTGTCAGATACCTGACTTGAACCCCGACTAGTTCCGAGTCGTGACGCTAATGATAGAGGAAAGCATTCCCTACAAGAATTTTTCCCATCCCTAGTACTAGAATTCGAGGCCTCTAGTTAAGAATAGAACAATCTTATCCATTCCATTACAAATCTTTGGTAATACAACAACGAATTCAGTATATTCTCACAAATGGGGTCTGGAGAGAATAATGTGTACGTAGACCTTACCCCTACACGAAGGTAAAGAACCGTTTCCGATGGTACGTCGGTCTACAACCCTTTTGGTAATAATTGAAATAATTGTGATGTCTATAGTAATACAAGTTAAATTTGGATTTATTTCACCACTATCTAAAACATAGGATACATTTCTTGAGAGAATATTTTCTTTCTTTTGACATTTTATGAGAGTATAAATTTCTGATTCATCGTATTACCAAGTTGACAAATAATAAGTACTAACTACATTGTAGACATGTAATATATCATTCACAAGTTGAATTTCTTTTTTTTGTTTCCCACTCGGTGTTCGGTATCCGCATTTGAGCCCGACTATATCTGGATTCACGCCGGGTACGGCTCCATTCGGAGGGAAACACTCCCTATCAAGGATTTTTCCAAATCAGGACTTGAACCCGAGACCTATGGTTAAGGGAGGAGTAGCCTCATCCGCTGCACCACAGTGGTCACTAGTCAAATTTCAAAAGCACTAAACAAGTACTAAAAGATAACCATCATTTTTTAGGCTGAAAACCTAACTTCTATACACCATAGTGACCAGCTTTTGATATTTTATAGTACTAGTACTCAAAAATTAAGATTATATTTTCTTGGACTACATATACTTAATAAAGATAAATTTTAGCCGGCGCCTGAAACTATTTATATTAGGTAGCCATAAAAGTGTATAAAATTTGTACATATTTATATATAACATATATATATATATATATATATATATATATATATATATATATATATATATATATATATATATATTTCAGCTACTATTTTAAGAGCAGCTATACAATATCATTTTTCATATATACTTTAGGAAAAATATAAAATGACACAGTTAAAACCAAAAAGAAAATGTGTTTGAACGATTGACACATAAAACAAAGTAAATGTTAGTATTTTTGCATCATTTTATTTTTGGGTGTTGTCTGAAAATACCATAGTGAGCAATAATGAATTCTAGAAAAAGAAAAAGGAAAGAAGTTGGTTATCAACTGTGGCTAAATTAGTAATTAATTAACGCTTGCTTATGTGGTATTAATTAGCTGTGCTTTTGCCATTAGAATCAGATGAACAATCAAAAGGATTTGTCAAAATCAGACAGCTAAGTAAACTCGAGAAATCAAGGTAATAAATTATTTTCTTGGGATCAAATAAAATTATTTTCAATTCAAGCTCATCATGTATCATATATTTAATTTTTTTAAATTTTATTTCTCCATTATTTTTATTTTTTATTTATATAATCTGGAATTATAACGAATAGAATAATAAAGAAGTGCAAGAAGATGACAACAACATGCAATATTGTAAGAGCTTATAGTATATAAAATATTGAGAATAGCCACAAATGAGCTTGTAAATATAGTAATGGCATGGGATAAATGACTTTAGATATATTGTAATCGTACATCAAAATGAAGTAAGATAAAATTAACACTTAATGTTATAAAATATGTATTTTCTGTCACATGATAATTTTCTTCACTTAAATAAGATTAAAAGATATTGGCAAATGCAAATCGAACACTCAAGTTCATTAAAATAGTTAAAGGACATATAAGAAATTGACGAGTAAAATAACATAACTATAGCTAGATGAAATATTTAGATGATGGTCTATTACGTAAATCCACAAAGACTATTAAAATAATATATATTATTTATCCACAAAGACTAAAAAAAAATACAAAAATAATTTTGGCTGGCGTGGGGTTAGTTAAGCTCATATATGAGCTGGATCCACGCTCAATGGAGTGACCCACTAATATAATTTATCAAAAATAAGAAGAAAAAAGAAAAAAACAATATTTTTTAAAATAAAATAATGTAATTTTTTATTTTTCATCCGGTGTCCCATACCCGCTATAATAACCTCCATTTTGCGCCATACAAGTAACATTAAATGGATTTTTTTCTCTCTTGTATTTTCAAATCTATTCTGAAAACGTTTTTTCTTGAGCCGATGGTACATCGAAAAAAATCTCTCATACATTACACAAGGTAGGAGTAAATATGCATACATCTCGTCCTGCCCAGACCTTACAGGTAGGATCACATTGAATATATTATTATTGATATAAGTCATATTATAGGACGTGCTCCTTACTAAAATTTTTCTATTCTCATATTTCGAATTCGAAATCTTTAATTATAATTAAAAATAACGTAATTCTATCTATCCCACCACTACTTTTTGACATAATAAAATAAGCTATTGTTTAAACAAGATAAACAAAAAAAAAAAAAAAAAAAAAAAAAAAAAAAAAAAAAAAAGATGGACAACTCCAAACACAGACACCCATGTTCTTCATCTCTTACAGCATACACAAAAATATATAAATTATAATTTTCATCCCTTATTTTCCTCTTTTTGTTCTTCTCTTCCTCTTAAAGCCCAAATAAATACTTTCCTTAAAAATAAAAATAAAATTCTTCCTCTCTCTCTCTCTCTCTCTTACAATTTTGGGTGTACTGATATGATTCCTTATGGATGTACCAATTGAGATATGTGCTTACTAGCTTTTATAAGATACTTTTGTTCCTGTTTGTGGGTATTTTCTTTTTTAACTTTTTCACAATATTTCCATGTAAATTTGCTGAAATTTTGAAGAAAATATGAATCTTGGTGTTGGGTCAGTGGTGAAAACTATGTCTGGTGCTAGTTGTAGTGTTTCTTGGAAGTCAAATGATAATAACCAGTTTCCAGCAGGTTTAAGAGTACTTGTTGTAGATGATGATCCTACTTGTCTTAGGATCTTGGAAAAGATGCTTAGGAATTGCCACTATGAAGGTAAATTAATTTCATCCTTGTAAGTTATAAGCTATATGTTTGTTTTGTAAATCAAGAATGGTACTTTGTAGTTTGTGTTTTCAAGAGTTGACCTTATTTTGGTGCTCCTTAGTTGTTAAAGTTCAAATCTTTGTTATTCTTTTTCTTGTTTTTTGTTGAATTTGACTTTGTGGAGTAGATATTGGATGTGTTTATAACTTAATTTGGTTTGTTTCTTAGGATAAACCAGTGAAGAGTATAGTTATTATAAGATTTGATTTTCATGAGATTTGGAAATGATAGGTTGGGAATTTATGATGGAAGAAGATCTATGTTTAGATCTTCTGTTTACATGTTTATTAGAACCCTAAAGTTCCTCAATTAACTTTTAGGGTCAAGTGAAATCTTTCATCTACGACCTTGGTCTTAAAGGGTAGTTTGGTGCATTAAGCTCCCGCTATGCGCGGGGTCCGGGGAAGGATCGGACCACAAGGGTCTATTGTATGCAGCCTTACCCTGCATTTCTGCAAGAGGCTGTTTTCCCGGCTCGAAACGGTGACTTCGTGGTCACATGGCATCTATGACCTTGGTGTTAAATAGAATATTTTAGGCTTTTGAGCTATGTTGCTTGGACTCTCTGAAAATATCGATGGGTGCATGTCTTATCCTCCAAAAGTAGTGCATCTTTTAAGGATCCGATAAGGGTGCAGAAGCATCTTAGAGAGTCCACGCAACATAGCTTTTGAGAGCATTCAAGACCTCTTCTTCTTGATGTTGTTATTCATTATTCATTTTTACCCCCTCATAATTCATTTCAATGTTGTGCTTCTTTCAGTCACCAAGTCTAATCGAGCAGAGATTGCATTATCATTGCTCCGGGAAAACAGAAATGGTTTCGACATTGTTATCAGTGACGTCCACATGCCAGATATGGATGGTTTCAAACTTCTTGAGCATGTTGGTCTGGAAATGGACCTGCCTGTTATAAGTGAGTATCCCGTTCATTTAGTATACTGTAGTTTCTGAGTTTTGGAACTGCTGATGTTGTACTAATTGATCGATTCCAAATTTGTCGTCGGCTAGTGATGTCTGCGGATGACAGTAAAGATGTCGTTATGAAAGGTGTTACTCATGGTGCATGTGATTATCTGATCAAACCGGTGCGTATTGAGGCATTGAAGAACATTTGGCAGCATGTGATTCGTAAAAAGAAGCATGAGCGGAAGGACAAAGATTTTGATCAATCAGCAACCGCGGAAGAGGGAGATCGACAACAGAAACCACCAGAAGATCTTGATTATTCATCTTCAGCTAATGAAGGAGGGAACTGGAAAAGCTCAAAGAGAAGAAAGGAGGAGGAAGATGAAACTGAAGAAAGGGATGACTCGTCCTCGTTGAAGAAGCCCCGTGTGGTTTGGTCGGTGGAGCTTCATCAACAGTTTGTACAAGCTGTCAATCAACTTGGAATTGACAGTATGTACTATTTACTTCTCTTGACTATATGTTTATCTTCATATTTCCCTAGGTCTGTGCCTCTGTGGTTCCATATTGCTCAGAATTTAGGTTAAAGGCAAAAGGCATATAAAAGTACTGTTTGTTGATGCCTTAAGCGTGGGCTTTGCAAAGAAAGGCGCTACTGAAGAAAAAGAAAAGAAAAAAGGTTATATTGACAGTGCCCAAAAAAGAAACATGAATGCAAACAATAATTATTTGGACAAACGAATTGAAAATGAACTATAATTAAGTGATTTATGAGGTAAAATTCATTTCAAGTTTTTCGGTTTTTAGTGACTAGTGCTTTTACACTAAATTACTAATTTCCTACTCTTAATTAATTACCAAAAAAGAAAACATTCATAATCTTTTTAACGGTTAATAACGCTTTGTCAACTAGATTTATTGTCTCGTGCTGCCTTCTTAGAGACGAGCCTATGGCCGATGAGGCATATGCCTTAGTGCCTTGGTGTCTACACAAAAGCGCCGCCTAAGCAAGGCAAAGTGCCGAACCTGCTCTTCGCCTAGTGTCAAGCGAAACTGTCTGTTGTGTTATCTTTTCCTTAAACTTTGTGCTGGGATTTTTTCTCTTTTTGGATATTTATATATCCTTGAATACTTCTTTCACTAGGATCTGCTTTTACTTTTATAGAAAGATTTTCCCTGTTATTCCGTGTTATTTGATAGTTGTTTCAGGGAATTCGGTAGAGATGCTTGGCATTATACCTGGTAAAAAGAGTTCCTACCAGCTGAGTTAACCCTTGGCCTAGCCTAATTTCTGCCTTATTTTATTGCTTCTCTCTTGTTCCCGGTTTTTGGGGGTTGGAGGGTGGAGAAATCTCATTCCAGTAATACGTACTAATCGATAAAGCTATGTATTCCTCATCAACAGAGCTAGTCATTGAACTGAGTTCCTAGCTCCTTCTTATGAACAGTGTACTCAATTACACTAAAGCACACATATGTTTAAGTTAGTACTTGAATTACATTTTAGATCGGTGCTCAACTGATAGAATAAAGTCACTATTTTTTCAAGTAGTTGTATTTGAAAATGGAAAACTTAGTTGTAAGGACAAGGATCAAGCAAAACCTTGGACAGGCTAAATCAGGAAGTGGTTCAAGAAAATTGGGATTGGGGGAGCAAAGAGGAAACCATGAGCTATGTGAAATAGTCCAGTTACAATAATAACATCGATTTCACGTTGCTCCAGTGTCGTTAGGTAGTCTAAATTCCTGTAAGTTTCCGTGTGTGGTTTACCTTTATCCAAAGTACAGTTTTAATTTATAATGGTGGTGTCCAGGTCAACTTCGACTATTTTAACGGGTACTTGCTACGCCGCACCAACACAAGTACCGGGTTGCTCTGCCTCCACACATGGGAAGAATCACCTAGTGTATTTTGTTTCTACTGGGGTTTGAACCTTAGTTTTATTGCAGTTTATGTTTACTCTCAATCATTGCTGATAAAATAAAATGTTCAAGGTTCTATAATTCCCGAAAACTTAGGATCGTATTCCACTGAATATGATTGGAAACTGTTTGAACTCTTACTGATATTTGTAGTTGCTGGTATCACAAAGAATAACATTTATTTCACTTATTTTCAGTGTCTTTTTTAATTAATTTTTATGGGTTACATTTGGGGAGGGGAGATGGGGAAAGGGGAAGGGGATCCTATCGCTAGTGATGGGGTCTGAACCCCCCACCTCAACTGTGGGACAAGAAGCTCACCAAGTGAAGTAGCCCTCAACGCCTTTTCAGTGTCCTAATTTTTTATATTCCATTAATCTTTCGTGTGCGGTTTAGGTCAAAATTTTCTAACTTTTCTTCATCCAAATTGCATAGTCTAACTGTATTGCAGTGTCTTTTACTTTAGAAATGGGCTCTGCTGAATTTGAAAAACAATATTTACCTATATTCTGGATACTTACTCGTCTATTATTCATTTCCAATTCTGGCTTATGATTTCAGAGGCTGTTCCCAAGAAAATTCTCGAACTGATGAATGTTCCTGGGCTAACCAGAGAAAACGTTGCTAGTCACCTTCAGGTACTGAGGAACTTTACTTCCTCCCTTTTCAAGTTGACTAGTGGAAGGCTTAATCTTTGTTTTGCAACATTACTTGATAACATTTCTCGGATTTCCTAGTAAAGCACTTATTAGTGGTAATCATGTATCGCAGAAATACCGGCTGTATCTCAGGAGGTTGAGCGGTGTATCACAGCATCCGAGTGGACTAAATAACTCTTTCATGGGGCACCCGGAAGCAACATATGGAATGTCTTCTTTCAATGGGCTTGAGCTTCAAGCTTTAGCTGCCACCGGTCAACTACCTGCGCAAAGTCTTGCTACCCTCCAAGCGGCTGCACTGGGTAGGTCTGCAACAAAAGGTGCTACTATATCTATGCCTCTAGTAGATCAAAGAAACCTTTTCAGCTTTGAAAATCCCAAGTTGAGATTTCCCGAGGGACAGCAACAACTAAATAATAGCAACAAGCAAATTAACTTGCTTCACGGGATACCAACAACCATGGAACCAAAGCAGCTTGCAGATTTGCACCAGTCCTCGCACTCACCGTCCTTTGTGGCTATGAATATGCAAGGGAACTCCAGAGTGCAGCAAAATAACGCTCTACTGATGCATATGTCTCAACAACAACAACAACCGTCTAGGGCTCAAATGCTAAATGAAACCAATAATGTTAGCCAAGTTTCGCGGCCTCCATTGTCCATGTCACAACAACCTTTGTCGTCAAATGGTATACCTGGTGCAGTCTTATCACGGAGTGGTGGTATTGTTGCCAATGTACGAGGGCCTGTATACAGTCCAGTCTCCCAAGCATCTCCTATGGTAGATTTCTCGCTGAACCAAAACACAGAGTTGCAAAACAACAGCTTTCCTCTTGTGAGTAGTAATTCGGGGATGTCAACTATGACATCCAAAAGAATGCTTCAGGAAGAGGTTAACTCTGATATTAAGCGATCTAGAGGATTCCCTTCTGGTTATAATATGTTTGATGAACTGCATCAGCAAAAATCACAAGATTGGGGTTTATCAAGTGTTGGATCAACCTTCGACGCCTCTCATCATTCAACTATACCAGGAACTCTAGATATCTCACCGTCCATGTTAGTTCAACAAGGTATTTCTTCAATGAAGAGGAATGGACAAAATGGGATTTCTCCTATAAGCGACGCTTTCTCTAGCAGGGAAGAAAGTGGAAATGTTAATCCTATGGGTGGAAATTTGCTTACTGTTAAAGCTGAACAACTTCATGATGCGAGCTACCAAAGTAGCTTTTTTCCAGGCCAATTTGGACAGGATGACCTCATGAGTGCCCTTCTGAAGCAGGTTAGTCCGAGTTTCTTGTCCTTCAAAATATTCATTGTAGCGATACATTAATTTTGCTAATTTTAATTTATGAAATTTCCAACAGCAAGAAAGTGTTGGACCAGTTGAAACCGAGTTTGGCTTTGATGGATATGCACTGGACAATCTTCCTGTGTAAGATGTGAAAAGAGTTTAGGTTACAGTAGCTTACACTGTGAACATATATTTCAGAGTCACTACTGTACATAGTTGTCTCTACAGCTGAAAAATGACTTCTGGGAAACCAAAACGCTGGAGTTCAGCTCGCTGCTCAATTCTTGATGTTGGATTCTCGTTTTGGCTGCATCGTCTGGTCTGATTCTTGATTCTTGTGGAATTAGAGCAAACATTGCACTGGAGTCGGATGACAAGTATGAAGGGTAATTGTGTATGATACTTCTGCATGATATGCAAAGGCGTACGTGCAAAGTTTTGACTGCTATATAGCTAGGTTATTTTAGAACAATTGCACATCCTAGAAGTAATTTGTGGAAGGTGTCCTGTTTGTGAGGTGCAACGCGGTGGTGTAGGGATTCTCTTGAATGGTCGGATTTCTTTACTAACTGAAATAACCCGATTTTATGTTACATATTTTACTTTCAGAAATTGATCTTGATGAATGTACAGATTAATTTGGATTGCCATAGAGTGCAACTCTCTGGGATTCTTTTAGTTGCTCAATTAACTTATATTCTTTTGCTTGCTTTCATGCTTTGTTCTTTATACGAGCAGCTGTTTAAAAATTGAGACCTCATTCTGTTTGTTAGCAACATATTCTTTCTAAAGCTAAGGTTTTAACTTTGATTCAGCAAATAAACAGAATATGTCTACGTTTTATATGAGGTTAACTTACATACACAGACAAATTTGTTTCTTAAACATTTTAACCAGTATTAGCAGATTAATAGCTTTATTTTTCAAGTTATTTATCCTACTTATTATGAACAATTTCCATAATTATCTTTTAGGTGATTTGATGGATAAAAAATCTTTTACATTGTTAGTGCATAGAAGTTACTCTTTTATTATTCAGTGTATTATAAAGGGGAAGATCCATCTAAAGATTAATATATATTGTAATTTTTCTGTGTTACAGTTTACAATTTACAAGAATTTTTCCTAGTGATAAAGTCTCTCATCTCAATTTATGTGTCACTTTGTTAAGGTCTAAATTTCACTTGCAGTGAAACAAACTAATTGTTGTTCTCTTAATCATGCAATATTTATCACTGCCTTGACAAATTACCTAAAAGAGTACAACTTTAGATATAAAACCATGTACGTAATTATCCCTTTCATTTTCCAATATCAATCTGATCTATTGTCTTCTTTTCTTCAAAAAATCAAATTTTTATGTTGCCAAAACAACACTTAGGTTGTTGCATAAATCATTAAAACAGTTCTACATCTTCCACAACACATCAGAAAATGTAGTTGGCATACTCGAGACTTGTAATTAAATAATATAAAATTTAAAATTAAATTTAAAATATAGAGCTCTCAACTTGATTAAGCTCCTTCTTGATCATTCAACTCATACACCAACTCACTCAACCAACTCACAAATGGCACAACTTTTACAGCCACTACAATTTTTTCTTTCATGTTTTCATATGGTCGATTCTAACTTATTTCGGATCGAAGCATAATTATTGTACTTGTTACAAAAAGAACCACAAGAAAGAGCCATTAACAAGAATGCTGCTTGTTCTACTTCTCCCAATTTCCTCTTCTGAGTAGAACTCGATCTTGGTCTCTGCAAAATTACTTCTTTCCCAAAAGGAAATACTTCCCTTTTCAATGAAGAAGAAACATTTTTCTTCCCAAAATTACTGTTTTTGCTATCTCCACTGCTGCTATAACTACTACTGTTACAACTTTGCTGCTGTAGTCCAATGCTTTTGTTTCCAAATGCCATTGATTTCTTTGGTTTCTTGTCTTCTTTGTTCAACCCCAGAAGCGCTCTTATCTTTTTCCTGCTTTTAATCCCACAGGCATTACATAGTGACTGCATTCAGAGTGATCGTATCATCAAATTCAAGTACAAAGGCAAAGTATACCAAAAAACCAAAATCACTAAAATGAGTTACTGCTTGTTTTATACAAAACTTACTCTCTGTTCCATTTTATATAGGAATTGTTATACAAATAGCCGGTCAAATTCAATATTTACTTTTTCTAGCCAAATAGAAAGTGTACTATATAAAGAATCCAACAACTCTTTAGAGAAGGTCAACTCAATGCACAAAGCATCCCTTGTTCACCCAAGATCCTAGGAAGGGCTGCACTCCAAGAGATGTTATATAGACAAACTACCCTAATACGAGCATTAGTACAAGTTTCACAGCTCAGACTAGCGACCTATAGGTCACACAGAAACAACTTTTATTGTTGCTCTGAGGCTTCCCTTCAGAATCAAACAACTCTTTATTCAACTAAATTATTTCATGAAATTTATTAGATATTTTTAGTTTCTTAGTCATAGTTAAGATCTGTAATCTTTTCGATAACTATGATGTTTGAGCCAATTTGATTGCACCTTAACTGGTATTTAAGTGCATACTTTATGATTTATAATTTTTAAACATAATTTATTTTCCTTTAATAAAAATTAAACGAAATTGAAATTACAAAGAACTACACTAACCTTGGGACCAGCAGGTCCACCTCTCCAAAGAGGAGTTTTAGTTGTACCGCAATCAGCACAAGTCTTAACATCATTCCTTTCTGCTGAAGAAGTTTCACTACTCAGTTCTTCAGATCTTATACCCTGCAATTAACACGAAAAAAATTCAAATCAAACACGAATATACGTATAGAACAACTCAAAAAAGAAGCTATAAACAAAGTAATTAGAAGAGATAATTAACGATCACTTACCTTATCACTTAAATCCACCATTTTGTATCACCTAATCAAAAAACCCAAAATAACACTTGATTTTTTAGCTTGATCAACTAAAAAGACCAAAAATAAATAAATAAATAAATAAATGAAATTTCTCAGCTCTACTATAAATAACAGAGTGATTTTAGGAGAGAAATTGAAGAAATGGGGGGTTTGGTAAGAAGATAAGAGAAGAGTGAACTGGGCGATCAGGCGGGGGGAAAAAAGAAGCGGTGGGGTTTATAAAGGAGTAGACGAAAACCCTAGGTGCGTGGGAGTTTGAAAAGACGAAATTGTCCTTGATTTGAGAACCTTTTTCAGTTTTTACCCGCCAAAAGAGTTGAGGGGCGCCAATTAATTTTGTTGTTTGCCGCTTTACTTAAATTAAGTTCTTTGATGGATTTTCGTTTTCTGTATCTAAGTGTCCCATTTAATTTTTACCCACTTTTTAATTTTTTTTGAACTTGTACTCGTTTTTTAAATAACTTCATGCATTTTTCTTGTTCTTGTTCTTCGTGTGACTGTGATTTTATATGGCATTTGTGAACATAATTTGGTGAACTGTTGTGGGGCTTTATTTTTTACTATTGCTTAGGGTTTCTTCTTTATTTTTCTTAATTACAAAATCAGTTCGTTAGATTAATTATTGTTTTGACAAATTGATTATTAGAGTTTGTTCTTGATGATATTTATAGGTTACGTTTCAAATTTCAGCTCATTTGGAGTAGATTTAGGTATTAAATCTGATAGATCTTAAATATTCTTACCTTATGTTTTGATGATCTAACAAACTTTCTGACAAGAACCAGTTAGGGAACCTGATCTACTTTGGATTGCTCCAAACTCCAACAGAGTCCAGTAAAAGATGAATTGCTACACATGTAGGAGCTAGGAACCAAACAAGGACCTGATGCTCCTGTGGTTCCTATATAGCAGCACAAAGTCATTTGACACAGCTGGAACTGAAGTGACTGGCGGCACTATTTCTGCCGCACTGCACCACACTGTCAGCCCACTCATTCTCTAACCAAACAAAGTACTCACATTATTTCAAGTGATGTGACCAAGATGTACCAAAAGGGTTTTTATACAAAACATCACTGAATGGTTTCAGTTTCATCATTCAAGCCTTTAGCAAAAAACAGAAGAGATCATTCTCTAAAGCTTGAAGAACAAGGTTGAACACCACTACGGACCAGTTCCAGAACGATTGATTATTGTTGTCCTAGTTGAGTTGTAACCTTGTTATTGCACTTACAATATCTCCTAAATTGCTTACTTAGAAGTTTATTGATTAGGAACTCTCTTGTAAATCCTCAGACTCGTTGAGTTTAGGTTGTGGCTAGATTTAGTCATAAAGAAAAGTCTTTGTAATCGTAGTATTGCAAAGTGGCTTGTGGTGATAGCACCACAAGTTAGAAAAAGCCTTTGTAACTAGGATGGTCACAAAGTGGCTTGTGGTAAAGGTGCCACAAGTTAGCTTGATGTCTTTACAATCGGAAGCATTGTAAAGTGGCTTGTAATAGGTAAGATTACAAGTTAGTGAAGTTAAAAGCCTACAGGGTTGGTCGTGGTTTTTTGATCCCCTTGTGCGGGATTTTTCCACGTAGAAATCCTCTGCCTCATTTACTTACTGCCTTACTAAGTGCTCTCAGCAGAAACTTGTAGAGGACCAGGTACTCTACGATTTGGTGGACCCATACAAGCCAACAAAACCGTATATTGGATTGTTAAAATTCGAAAAATAAATTTTTGTTTCTTGACCATTTGCACTTCAGGCCTATTTGGCCTTAAGTGCATGAAAACGTTGGTTGCAGTTGCACGTCACACCTTTTAGCCACTTAATTTCAATTTTAAAATTTTAAAATTCAAATTTCAAACTTTAAACTTTAAAAGTTTAATTTTATGCCTTAAAATACATATTTTATTATTTAAAAGTCTGCAAACACTTAAATATCAATTACATTGAACAAGGAAACATAATACACTTTAAAAAAATTAACCCGGCCCATTCCGGACACAATAAGCCCGAACCGGGACGGACCCAACAAAACCCTAAATATCACAGCCTACTAACCTGCCCGCCCCACTAACCGGACGGGCTATTTTTTCCCATGTCCAACCCGTCCCATAAACACAAAGGACATAGGTGCTCGACTTGAGATCGCAACTGTTGAGATCGACTGGTGCTATTGTCTCTCTTATTTGTACTATTCCTATGTGATTTTTTTTAATTATTAATAAAACTAGCCCTAGGCACTTGCCTAGTGAATTTGCTATAAAAAAAAAAAAAACACCTTTAGTTCTTATGTTTCATTTCCTCGGTTTATCTTAATCCTTATTTGTGCGTGTAATCCTTATTACTAAAACACAAAATTGTCATAATTAAAGTTTAAAAAACTAAACCCTTTCTTCTTTCTTTTCCACAAAAGCAAAAAATTAGAAAAGAAAAACAGTCTAAGCCGACACTTGAGTATGCTTTCATGTATTTATGAGCTTTTTTATTTGCGCGAAATAGAAAGATCAATGTACATTGGTTTCAAAATGTACATATGGTTTAGCTTTATGAAAAAATGATTTCAAAATGTGCATGGTAAAATAATTTTAAGTAGTTATGTGTTTATATTTGACTTCTCATCCGGTATTCAATACTTGTATAATTACGACCCCGACTAATCTAGATTTATTCCACGTAAAGGTCATTAAATAGAAAAATACTTTTTACTAAGATTTTTTTCATTCTCAGAGGTCGAAGACAAGAACCCTAATCAAGGGTAGATAGATCCTCTTCATCCCAACATAACTTTTGATAGTAATTAATAC